TTTTAATATTAAAAGGAATTACATTGTTAGTACTGTTATATATTTATTTATAACATTTTTATTACCACTATTGATATCATTACAGTATTATCATCATCCGTCATCATCATCCTCATCCTATTCGTCATCGTCATCATCATTCTCATCATCATCAATGGCATAGCCAGCTATTGGCACAGTGGGACAGTCCCACACCGTTTTTCAAATGGGTCCACATTTTAAAAATGGGTCCAAATTATGTAATTTTATGCATAAAATGGATCCAGATTCTTTATATTTTAGTTAAATATAAGTAAAATTTAAGAAAATGGGTCCAGATATTTAACATTTTTGCGTAAAATGGGTCCACATTGTTTGAATTTACACGTAAAGTGGGTACACTCTGATATTGTCCCACACCGTTTGAAAATTGATTGATTGATTGATCCTCATCCATCATCGTCAACCTCATCACCATCCTCACCAATCATTGTTAACATCATCACCTTCATCCTACTAATCATCCTCATCCTTATCCTCATCATCACCAACATCATCCTTATCCTACTTACCATCATCACTCATTCATCATCATAGTCCTCATTATCATCATCATTGTCATTATCATCTTCATCATCATCCTCATTAAAATCATCATCTACCATCATCCATCAGCATCCTTGTCCTCATCATCAACCACATCATCATCCTTATTAGTCATTATCAATCATCATCCTCATCATGAGGATGATAATGAAGAGGATGAGGACGACAGGAATGAAGATGAGGTTAAGGGGCAGAGGGATGTTTCTCATCATTCGTCATCATTAACCTCATCAATATCATTCTCATCAATCATCCTCAGCATTATCACGATCACCCTCATCCACGACCATATCATCAACCATAATCATCATCATCCTTATTTTCATCATCATTAAACTCATCATCCGAATCCTTCTCCTTATTATCATCATTATCCTCACCATCCTTATCAGCATCATTTTCATCATTATCCTCTTCATCATCAGTCACCATCATCATCATGAGGATGATGAAGATGAGGACGACGAGAATAAAGATAAGGACAAGGGTGAGGATGAGAGGGATGATTCTCATCATTCATCATCATCATCATCATTCTTATCAATCATTTTCTATCATTCTCATCACCATCATCACAATCATTATCATCAACAACCATTGTCATCAATCATAATCACCATCATCTTCTTCCTCACCATCATCCTCAACATCTTTCTTCTCCTCATCATCACCATCAACATCCTTCTTATAATGGGGAATATAATGAGGATGACAATAAGGAAGATGATGATGATAATAATAGTGCTAACGCTAATATTAATGTGAATTATAAACTATAAATTTTTTAAAACACATAAGAATAATTACATACTATATTAATAATATTATAGAGTAACAACATAATAGTATACTAATGATGATGAAGAAAAATGTAGTGTAGAAAGATTAAATTTAAATAGGTAAACATTTCCTTTAATTTTGATTGTCGTAGTCTTGGAATTTGTTGTGTTGACGTCATCATTCCAAATTTGCTTGGGAGGTGTGAAATTCTCGTCTGACAGGCCTAGACTCCCAATGTCTGATGCCACGACGAGGTCACCACACCACAAATAATGATTTGCTTATCCATATAACATTATTTTGATTGCCAATCCCTAATATTTTGGCTTAAAAGCGAAATTTTGGGCCATACAAAGCTAAACAAACTCTCCCATAAGCCCAGGGAAGTTTATTCCGGAACTCTGACCGAGGGTCTAGTCGGCCCTGTGTTTGGACCCACCCTATCAGACCCACTGGGGCCACCACTGAACGACTATAATGGGTAAGTATTTAACTAAAGTCCTGTCAGTTTTCACAGTTATAGAAAAAAACTAAAAGTGACTAAAAACATAAACATGTTTCCTATAATATTGTATTGGGATTGTATTGTACTTTGATAACAATAAAATTATTTTTACATTAAAAACATAGTTTTTCTCACCTTAATGGACGCCATCTTGGAATTTATCATGATGATGTCATCATTCCGATCAAATTTTTAAATGAGAGTGATGAGTAACTATTTAGCCAAGTTGTTGTTACATTTCATATTCACAGTTTCTATTTCCCCTACCCCCATCTTAAATAGTTTAAATTAGGGTATTTTAGGTCAAAATTTCAAAGTGCTGTAAAAAAAATTGCCCTAGGCATGGGGATTTTTTTTCTGAGACACTATAGGGTATGTGGATTCAGAAAAACTAAAAGTTAATTTTCCTTTACTTTTTTCCCGCTGAAGTTCATTTCAGCAGTTTTACAACCAGACTAAACACGCTCCAACCACAATGTATGTGTACGACTTCGGATCTTTGCCACCTTCCTCACTTTCTTCTGTGTTGTAAAGAGAGACGTCCACGATGTCCATCAGGATTTCAGCTTCAATATTTGTCTTTCCTTGTTCAATCGAAGACGTCACAAGATCAGCAGAAATATACTCTGGTATGTTAAAGGTCATTGTGGCAGTTATAATAACGATTTTAGATGAGTTATATAATTATCAACAAAATGCTGTGCAATTGCGCCCAATCAATAACGATCCTCTAATCCAGGGTGGGCATAAACTCGGTCGGAGGGTCAAATTGAACTTTTGACAATATCGAGGGCGGCACCCAAACTTTGATGTTTCCAGTGTGCTTCGAAAAACCTTCATGCACTGCTTTTATACCACTTTATTGTCAGTTTTAATATTACTTTTTACAAATGATCGGTGTCGGGCCGTAAAAAAAACGTAATGCACTAATGGCATATTGACTATTATTGTATATTGAAAAGTGTAGGGTTGTGGTACAGAGACCTCTGACGAGTAGTGCCTAAAAATGTTTACAAAAACGTAATGCAATAATGGAATATTGACTATTATTGTATATTTTCGGAAGATATTTCAGCCACTCCAAATCTCTTTCCTATTCTTCCTTTTGTACGAAGCAGGAGCTCCTGTAGATCAAACCAGTACCGTTACAATTTTAAACGTGCGGGAAATATAGGCCTACTCAAGATTCCTAGGCTAGGCCTCGGCTATGCCTATTACCATATCATTTAAATATACAATTTTAATAGATAATATTAATTTAACACGGACGTAGTAATTCATACTTAAACAATACATAAATAATATATATAATAACGTTAACGAATGAATAACAATAATTAAAACGTGAACATAATGTCACTACTACAATAATAAGATTAATATTTTTCAATCTTATAATCAGGGGTGGCGCCAGCGGAGGGGGGACCCCTCGTCGAAAAGAGCTTTCCCGCCAAAAATTAATAATTACTATAATCACAGACCCTATCATACCATCCGTGGGTATAAATAATATTTAAAATAGTACTAGGCCTAGGTAGTAGGCCTAGCCTTAGCTCTAGTAGTAGTAGTAGATCTAGGCATGGGATAGGCCTTTTCCACGAATTATCGGTATATTTTGAAGTGATGACAAACATTGCGAATCAGGTACAGTATTAACAAAAGCCATTTAGGATCAGGGTGGGAACTGTATATAGAGCGAGGACCCTACTGGACTCATGGGTAGAGGCATCAAAGGAGCCAATAAGGGTCGGTGGCCTGCGGATTTTTTCGCATGAGAACGCGTAGGCGTTACTCCATGCTGAGCATGGATAGCTGTTCTATAGCTGGGTACTACATTCCGGCTAAAAAAACTCTGTCTTTAGGTCTCCGCCTTTTGGCCTTTTTACATCCTGATTGATGCGTCGGGGATATAGCGTTGTGTTCGTTGACAATCAATAGAAAATTCAAAATTAGTGAGTGGTAAAATAATCGAGCCCTTTCGCCCTCTGCTGGATCAGTCACTGAACTCATGGGTATACTTCCTTTTTTTTTCCCTCTTTCTTTCTTCCCTTTAACTCTTCTCAATTTTTGTTTTAATTCTTCGGCGTGACTGACAGGGGGCACGGAGCTCCGTGGCCCCTCCCCTCTCCCGCTGGATCCGCGCCTGAACCTACCTAAGCATTTGGCAAATCACACAAACTATGCTTAGCCCAACTAGCCTTCAATTTAGTAAAAATTTTTGGTTCAATGTCGTAATAATGTATGTACGAAAGTGCGTTCTACGCAATATTGTTGGAATATAATAATATATTGCTTATGTCTTTGATTTTTTTCTCTATATAATGGCCTGAAGAATGAGATAAAAGTTACCCGATCTTTTTCAAGAGGAGAAAAACCTTGAATTTTGAAGGTCATTAAAAACTCCTCAGAAGTCAGGAAAGCTAATTTCCGGCCATCTAGCTAGGAATGAAAATTTTCCCGGGGGAGGTCCCCAGGACCCCTTACATTTTGGGGGGTTTTTTGGGACATTTTGAACCACCTTTTCATATCCCTGTTAGTGATAAAACGCTGTACACCTTTATTGTAATTGCACTAATTCAAATATTCATCATATAGCTATTGTTTCTGCCTGGTAATACTGTAAATATATTCGTATGGTCCTCATATCCACACCCTACTTCAGATAGAAAAATGAAACACTTCTTTCTTAAAACATGAAAAACTATTCTGTCAATTCTCATTTTTATCCATTGATCCATTTTCGAGATATTCAGGCCGGGTCTGGGACCTAATGGCCCTCAAATGCACACCCGAATTTTGGATCGTCACCAACACTTCATAATTTCTTCCTTGTAACTTGGTTAAACTTTCACAAACATTTCATTCATATCAGTTGATTAGTTTTTGAAATATCTTGTCTAGGACGTTTGCTCTGAAATCTCTTTAAATGGTCCTCACATCAACACCCTCAGACCGTCCCCAAAATTTAACGATTTCTTCATTCGGTTATAACCAACACTCCTTGCTAGTTTCAATTATGTATGTGCAGCCGTGGTTGCACACAAAAAAACACCACACGGAAACACCAAAATGTGTTATCTGTGGCGATGTCGATGGCAATGATAATGAAAAGCTAACTTCATGCACCTTATTTCCTCCATTCATAGTAGTTTAATACATAATACAGCAACACATATTTACTATATTACAATAAGAAGTTAATATCCCACAGTCCGACAACTTAGTATGTATGTATGTATGTATGTATGTATGTATGTATGTATGTATGTATGTAGGGGTGCATATGTGTGTATGAATGTATGTATGGAAAGTAGCATACAAACGTTAATACCGTATTATATCTAAACATTGCTTAAAAATATAAAGACAAAAGGTATAAAAGAGTACCGGCTAGCAATATGTTAGTGAACTTATCACCAATATATTACTACATGCGGCTTACAATGTTGTTCAAGAAATTTTAACAAGTACTGTTAAAACATAGAGCTCCACGAATAAAATTATTAACCTTGAACTACAGCACTCATCTGACGAAGAACAATAAAAAAAAAAGTTGACTTAGCCGTGTAAATTAAAACCGCCATCGCATACAGATTAGGCCTGCAGGTAGATGAAATTTATGTGTCAAAGGAACCATACTCTCATTTAAATCTGTTTAGTTGCTAGCACAGTTACATTTTGCTACTCACATGTTTGACAATATTTTAGTATAGTTATTGTTAATTCATACTAAATAGTTTTAGATTGCATATGAGAGAAAAACGAACAAAACTGACTTCACAAAAATCTGTTCAAGATCTCGGTTACTTTTAGAAACATTTATATACATACGAATTCAATCTATTATGTTACCATACTGTACAATAATAAAATGTCATTGGCGAATTTTACACGTTTTTACCCTAAAGTTGCATTTTGAAGCTAGTCCGTCACTGGATGATTATGATTTGAATATGTTTGGTATCATACAAAAAATATTAAAATTATCGATCAAGTGATATATATTATGACATATTATATTTAATTTTTTTTATCAAAACTTTCTAAAACCCTATTTTTATGACTTTTTTTGGCAAATTAATAATAATACATGTTTTATTAAATAAATACGAGAAATACTAAGCTAACAACCGTTTTGTAAGATACTTTTTTTTTCAAAAACTGACCATATAGGCCTACAAAATTTAATTATATTAATTTTTTAACCAAAAGCTTGCCCAAACATATCTTATAAGCCATTTTTTGGCAAAATTTAAAAATACATGTTTTATTAAATAAATACGAAAATACTAAGCTAACAACCTTTTCGTCTGATACTTTTCCAAAAACGGACCACATACAAAATAAAACGGCTATAAAAATGTCAAACATTATTCATTTTGAATTTCGGAGTTACAGTATGTCAAAGGTTATCTCCAACAAAAAAAGGCAAATTTTACACTTTTTACCCCAAAATTGTATTTTGAAGCTAGTATGTTACTAAAATTTTGGATATATTTGGTGTCATACGAAAGCTATTACATTTATCTATCGAATGATGTGCATGATGACAATTGATGTTAATGTGGTGACCCAAAAGTAGCAAAACTTTATTTTTATGACATTGGTAAAATTTGGCACTAAAATCCAAAATTCAGTGTGGCAAACTTTTATTCTGAGTGAGCCAAGGCCTGGTGATGAAAATTCACCAGTTTTCGAGAAAGTATCAGATAAAAAGTTTTTCAACTCATTACTTCTCATAAATAAAACATGTTTTTTTTTATTTACCAAACCAAGTCATAAAAATAAGTTTTTTTTTGTACCTTTTGGGTCACAACATTAACATAATGTGTCATCATACACATCATTTGATAGATAATTTTAGTTGCCTTAGTATGATACCAAATATATTTAAATTGAATACCATTTTGAGATAAAAAGTATAAAAGTGACATAATATTTTCAAAGTACGATTTTTGGGTAAAAACGTGTAAAATTTGCCATCTTTAGGTCAAACTTGGCACTTATTTCCAAAATAACATCAGCCCCATTCCTTGTGAGCCAAGAGCTGGTGATGAGGATTCACCTTGTTTCCAGCTTGTAAAAAATCATGACTACGAAAAAAATTTAAAATGGAGCACTTTAAATCTGATGGCCACCCGTCTATTATGATGCAGAAATAATTATTTACATACATTTTAATATAATTGAAAACGAACGACCAATAGCAGTTTACATATACCCAAATGGAGTACACGTAAGGTAGTGGAAATTGTACAATTTGGAGTGCTCATCTCGCTTTCTTTAGCATTTTTGTCAGACTGTGCAATGCTGTGAGGGGATCACCACTCCTCAAAGCGAGTATGTTTATTTTCCAAGCATATGCCGGTATCCATTAAAACTCATGTGTAGAGAGGGTCAAAAGCAGATACGCAAGCAACTTTGCATAAGAGCTTGAAACTTCGACAACGAGGTTCAGTGTCCAGGCCACAACAAATTTAAAATCTGTTTATTTAATAAAAATAGGTTAAAACAGTTATAAAAGGTTAATTTAAGAGTTTCACATGTTGAACTAGTTATTATCATCCCACGCTTTTACTGAGGATGCGGCGATCCTGCTCGACTTCCTGCTGAACTTGATGCAATGAACAATTCATCGAGGGATCCTGTGTAGAATAAAAAATTATAGAAACATTTTGTGATTTTTAATTTTTCTTTTTAATGACTACTCAAATAAAATTGTTCAATTGTTTAATTTCTGTGTGGGTTATCGAGATCTACAGTATTATCCGCTTACACCACTATATGAAAAACATATATAATAGCAAAATAGGTGAAATCTACAGTGGCGTTGTGGGCTCAATGTAGATGGAGAAGAATAGACATAATACATATAGAATAAATGATATATAGAAAAGATCAGTTTTACATGATTTGGTTACACAATTAAACGCATGTAATTAAGTAATTCTTATATAAAGTTGTATTTCCCTCATCAGTATTGGAATCCCATTATGACTGTCTGTTCGCCATTCGAAACTGAAAAGTTGTGAACAGACTAAATTTATAGTTTATTATTTCATTAGCATGAGAACCCAATACATTTAGATAACAGTTTACTACTACCAGGGAGGTATACCTCCATGCTACTACGTAATAAATGACAAAATATACACAGCAGGTATATTGTGCATTTCATTGAATTCAACAACGTATAACATAACAGCGTATACTTTACATAAATTCTAATGACATTATTCATTTAACTACTTGTTTTATAATTGATATTCACTTTATTGAGTTCTTACCGGATGAAATTGTCTTTAGTGGTTCTTTATTGTCAGATACACTGGTGGGTCTACTGGGAATAACCTGGTTCAAAGTTTCCTTGCTTTTTTTTTCATGTCTTTAATTGAAACAAATAATACTTCATTTAGTAACAATATCGATGGAGATAAAGATAGTAATGATAATAACTAAAGAAATCACTCTATAGAGTGCATAACTAGGACCTGTGGGTATTATTATAGATATTATAAGTCAATCGTGACGTCATCATTTTCATTTCCACAAACTTTCATATCCCTGAGCCGGCGCTAATTTGATATAGTGCCTGCTGTTTTTTTGCATCAGTATTAATTATTTATACTCTTGAGTCGAAAATGAATTCAAGTAAACGTAGATAAATTGTCTTTCTTAACGACAAATGTAAATTGAACACCAATGGATTTGTACACCCACCGTCCAACTCCTTAACACTGAAAGCCAGTACTTTAATCACTCCGCCAACTCATACGAAATTACAAGATAGAGAAATGTAGGAGCGTGTGGAGCAATGTGTAAGGCATTGGACTTCCGATCGTGAGATCGGAAGAGACCGACGCACGTCGCATTGCTATGTCCTTGGGCAAGGTACTTTACTTACTTTTGCCTCTCTCCACCAGGGTACATGGGTACCTGGTAGAATGGTGTGGCATTGAATGTATGTGGTTGTGAGTGTAAAGCAGCATGACTAGTGATACTCCCAAGGAAGCAGAGAATGTTGCACAAAAAAATGTGCTGGTTTGACAACTAAGTATCCAGTTACCAGGGAAATACTGACGCCAGCGCCTTCGTGTATATTTTCTGGAATGCAGGGTGGCGCCAGGATTTGCCCGATGGGTTCAGGAGGGAAAATCCCCCGAAAAATATGACAATTTAGGGGTTTCAAAACCTTATTTAATCGATTTTATAGTCTACTAATATGAAGAAAATACATATACATTTTTTTCTCCCCCGACGAATTGTGGCTTTTCTCCCTGAAGGTTGGCTCTTATACACATCTAGATGTGTATAAGAGACAGCCACTATATGAAAAACATATATAATAGCAAAATAGGTGAAATCTAGAATGTGAAAAACGCCATATAAATTCAGATTTAAAAAAAACCGTTTTGTTTGTTTATTATAAATTAAGAAAATGAATACATTATACGTACATTTTGTAAAAGCAGACTCCAAATACTAACAACCCAATTACTGCAAAACAACACGCTCCAACCACAATGAAGACGGTGTACGACTTCGGATCTTTGCCACCTTCCTCACTTTCTTCTGTGTTGTAAAGAGAGACGTCCACGATGTCCATCAGGATTTCAGCTTCAATATTTGTCTTTCCTTGTTCAATCGAAGACTTCACTACATCAGCAGAAATATACTCTGGTATTTTGAAAGATCATTTTGGTTGTTATAATAATGATTTTTAGATACTTTATGTAACTAATAAACAATTTGTAAGGTTGTGTGATTGCTCCAAACAAATAATTACCCTTTAACCTTTTAACTGATAATGAAGCGGGTTTAAGCTTTTAAGAAGAGTCATCTATCTATGAACTACTTATAGGTCTAATACATTTTAATAATTATTATAATGTTCATCTGGAAAGTGTTGTTCGACCTGATTCAGTACATTTGGCAATGTTTTTTTCATTATTTCCAAATACACTAATTCCTAATTTAATACATTTCACTTACCATTTGTATTTCTTCTTTGTCTAAATAAATTGTTATATTTGTGGTTAATTACATCTCTCCTGGCCCTGTCGTCATCATTATTCTGGAAGCATGTCTCAATATAATTGTTGTGTTTAATTGAAAGTACTATAACAATCTGACTCTCAGATATTCTCTCATTCAGGTTGACATTTTCACTAGTTGTAACATCTCCATCTAAAGTATCCTGTCTAAAAATTTAAGATCACAGAATAGAATACAATAACTATATTGCATTATAGGACTTGCTGTTAAATGTAGCATAGGCCGACCCATTATATATTTATACAAAGCTGCAAGCTCTGTTGGTTTCTCCCATTGGGCTTAAAACAATGAGGAGTGAAATAAATATATACATGTATAACAAAATTAATTCAAAACGAATAATTAATAAATTAAAATAATTTCACTTACTCGTTGAAATCTGTCACAGAACAACACTTTTGAGCATTCGAGTAACAAAATGAGTTCACTGCCTTTGAAACACTTGCATGGAATACTTGTTTTGCACTAATCCACTGAAAACACGTAATACTATGATTAAGCTTTAAGTAAATTGTTGATATACCCAGCAAATTCATGACCAGAATTATTATATTATTTAAGCCATATAAAACCATTGTAATTACATCACAAATTGTATATGTACTTTTTATTTTAATACAGACCTGTTCTTCTCGACCTTGTAGTGTCAATTTTATAGCCTCTTGGTAATTCACGGTTTGTTCTTTAAGATAAAAATGTGATTACTTAATCAAAATCTAAACACACATTATCCAAAATCAAATATATTATAAGCACACTGACCATTGGAAATTAATCCTTTAATAGGTTATTAATAAAAATATTATACTGAAAATGATTTATTAAACATTAATTGATAGCACTTCTTGCATCAGTATTAAAAATCTATTGAATTTTTCAGAATTACATAAGGGAAAGTCACTGTAAAGATGTGGGCATCAATATCAAATGATGGTTCATTCTGAGGTAGACAACCGGCATCTGTACTGTACTTGTACATGGCCAAGAAACTTCACATACGCTTTCCATTACAAGAGTTTCTTAGAAATATTGGTACTTGAAGGAAAAAACGAGGGGTCAGATTTCCCCGACAGAAGCAAAGTGGGCGTGGCTGAGCTTCGATTAAAAGGTACCGAAAGTGGTCCTGGGGGCAAAGCCCCGAAAATTTTGACAATTTCATCTTCACAAGTAGGTACAAGAAAAGATTGTAAAAAAAATAATATCAAGAACATTTTAAGCAAGTCTTGATATACATCGTGTTACTGTCTTTTGAGTACTGCCGTTTCTGTTTAATGGTACTGACAAAATAATAATTTTGATCGTTATACGTAAAACACAACAGACAATTATAGTATTCATAATGGTAACTACTTAGTATAGAAATTCATGATATCAAACTTAAAGGTGAAGGTGTTAGTAATAATAGACCTAATAGTAATAAATTAATATATTAGTCAGTTTATCTCCATATTCCTGAACACTTATACCACAATAATGCAATTGATGGCCTCTGCAACTGCTGTGTTCTTATGTTGAGATCATGAGGTTGTTCCATACTTATAGCTCAGTACAAATTAATGTACTCATGGTAATAATAATAATCGCACATAACAAAAACTAACAAGTTTGTACATACTGTTTGTATTAACCGTTGAGGTTCTTTCACGAACTGCGAAGGTATATGTAAGAGGCGATGTTTTCAAATTATCTGTACCACTATTCAAAGTTGATGGCTTTGGAGATGAGTTTCCTACATTTGAGTTTCGATAGTTTGCCGATGTGGATCCAGATTGAGATGCATCAGTAAAATCAAAACCAGTTTTAGAATCATCTTGATCTTGCGAAAAAGATGATATTTGTGGAACAGTAATGGGGTTAACAGTTGCATTTGTTCCTTGAGTATGTGTTTCTGTAATAGAAGTATGTTTTACTTGTAAAAATGAACATTAGGAATATTTTAATCTAGTATTGATATACATCGTGTTACAGTACTATTCGTTTCTGAATAATGCATTCACCCATGGTTGGGACAATCTAGGACTTTTAAGACTAATCCTAGTGAGTGGAGCATGCTTATCCAGAATGAGACCCAACTTGTTCACCAATTCCACAAGATCATAATTATTGTTAACGTAATGTTAATGCAGGTAAAACCGAAGTTGAACAATTTAGTCAGCCATGGTGGACTGACCCCCATATCCCTGTCTCTTATACACATCTAGATGTGTATAAGAGACAGTGTCTGTCTGGCCAAAGATACGTCATCAGATACCTTGAACAGAACAAACTTATCTTAATCATTTTTCCATACACACAAGATAATCTTTTTCCAGCAAAGGACGCATTTTTCTCATGTAAAATATGCATTAGTTGACTATCGCATGTCACACATGTAAAACTCCTTCCATAAACTGAATTTGACATTTTGATTTTGATATTTATGGGTGGAAATACACTGGTAATCAAGATATGGTAATACCAAAAAGGCTTCTGCATATCTATTGTTCATAAAATATTCATGAGTCATTGTAAAGCAAATAAAAAAAAAGTGAAATGAATATTATATTCTGATGTATTAAAGTTAGACTCTGGAGGAGGGAAATTTTTTGATATGTTGTAGCACTGATTTTTCTAAGCCAGAAAACTGGGAACGGTGAATGAGATCTGTCTCTTATACACATCTAGATGTGTATAAGAGACAGTAGTATAATAGTATACGTTATATTCAAAGTATAATATAATCAATCAGTCATGATTTATTTAAAAGAATTATAAATATTGTCAACAAACCTTGACGCACTGACCAACTGTCGATTGAGATTTCTGGCAAACATTGTTGACAGCAATCATTCATATTTACATCAAACGCTGCATAACAGTGACCGTTTATATTGCAAGAATTATTCTGAAAGAAAATATTTGTCAAAAATGTATGTCTTTTAGTTTGAGCATGTGTTTATACATCGTCGCCTTTGAAACGCACTAGGTATAATGTAATAACCTTAGTACTACATAGTTGCTTGTAGACTGTCGTTTCTTTAGAAACAGTCCGTTAGGGCCTAATGTGCTTGAAGCTGACGAGAGTGGTTTAGTCAAGGATTACTGTGGGTAGAAAACGGCGATCTATATACCGCGTTCACATGTCTTAGGTCGCGAGTGAACGATCGGCTCGCGAGTCGGGCCTTCATGTGAACAACCGCTCAAGAGCGGTTTTTGTCGTGGGTGACCCACGACAAGCTGCTGTCGAGCGGCTCTCGATGCAGCTCACTCTCGATCCATGTGAACAGCCGCTTGCAAGCGGGTCGCCAGCGAGCTGGGACCTCTTTTGTGTGAAAGCCAATCAGATACAAGCATCTCTCCGGGGTCAAAGTAAGGGAGAAAAAGTGTGACTTCACGTTTCCTGGCTGGAATAGAGTTAAGAATGGCGTGGTATTTACCATTTATACAAACTTGAAAATCACTTTTAATATAACAACAATAAATCACATAATATTTCTAAGTTTAAAAGTAATATTACTCGTGGATATCGTATCATACATTTCTTCTACAAACATGATTTAATGAAGTACGTGTACGGCGGTGTACCGACGCCTAGGCCTACGCTCGGAAGATTTTAAAATGCAAATTTTTATAACTTGTGATTCGTAAATAAAGGCGAACTTACAATATATGATAAGTAGATTTATTTATTTTCAGTGGCTTTCCGAAATAAAATGAGAAAATGCAATATAAGTTACAGAAATGCGTTAAACTTACCGGTTTACCACAGAATTGGGAACATCGGCGATCGCCCAAAAATGTCTGGTGGGGATCGTTGGAGGATCGTCGATGCCACCTCCACCCAGGCCTAGCATGTCGACAACCAATTGGGATGTGACGTAAATCTATTTCCGGTCGCCTCGAAAGCGGCGTAACGAACGCAGTTTGGCCATTTTTTTTTATCTAACACAATCTCGCTCACGACCCAGCATCTCAACCGCTCGCGATCGATGGACATGTGAACGTGGATTTAAAGTGTTAGGGGAGGAAATATCTAGACCTACTGCTGTTTCATCTACAGCATTGAAACCCCTGACAGTGAATTATAACTTACCTTCATGTTGCATTCACCTTCTGATGCATTGCATACTTGACAAACAGAATCATACACAATCATTATCACCATATCTTCACTTTTCAACTCCCCATCATTACTGATCGATATTAGATAACCGCTTGAAACTATTCCTTCTCCTGGTAAACTTGGTTGAACAGCTGGTTCGGGCAAAGGACATTTGACTTCTTGAGGTGTCCTAAATATACCAGCTACAGTAGATATTATTGGTAGCACTGTAATGCCATCATCACTTACCTTCATAGAGAAAAAAACATTTAAGATATTATTTTTTAAAAAGCTATGTTTATTCTAAAATGTATGTTTCTCTATCCTGATCTGAAAAATAAATATAACTTAGAATGTAATTTTACAATTTTACAATAGTGATATATAAAAAATGATGTAGGCCTGTAGTCATTTGATTATTTATAGTCAATTTATTATCAGTTTAAATAGCTAATTCAATATTTAGATTTTAAAACTAAAAATAGTATTAATTTTTGCTAAATTTTCAGTTGTTTTATAAAAATTCAATTTCAATTTAAGAAATATAGTACTGTATGTACACAGTTGATCATAAATTATATCAAGATATACATTGATATATTTTCGTTTATTCACATATTCATATATCTGCAGATAAATATGACAAAATTACATAAGCCCACATCAATGCATTGTTGTGTTCTAACGCTTATCAGCAAATATTGAACTAACATTAATGTTCTGAATATGACATGTGATGTTCCCTGTTTCCACAAAGTTTTCTCCATAAATCTTTGCTGATCTACATGGTCTAGTACGAACATCACAAAGTCCATCGCCAAGAACAGAAAACACTAATGGTGGTTCAGCCAGTGAGATAGAACAATCGCTTCCTCCCAATCCTTCGTTGCATTCACATGTACCGTTTACGCATTCACCTTTGTCATTACACTCATTCACACACAGCTGTCCCAATAGAGCCGTAGGTGGCACCATTGTACCGTTATCTGACTCTTCCCAATACATGGGGTTCTTTGTGAGTACTACTTCGCAACGAAGTTGGAGATCTGATATTGTCTGTCTGGCCAAAGATACGTCATCAGATACCTTGAACAGAACAAACTTATCTTAATCATTTTTCCATACACACAAGATAATCTTTTTCCAGCAAAGGACGCATTTTTCTCATGTAAAATATACATTAGTTGACTATCGCATATCACACATGTAAAACTCCTTCCATAAACTGAATTTGACATTTTGATTTTGATATTTATGGGTGGAAATACACTGGTAATCAAGATATGGTAATACCAAAAAGGCTTCTGCATATCTATTGTTCATAAAATATTCATGAGTCATTGTAAAGCAAATAAAAAAAAAGTGAAATGAATATTATATTCTGATGTATTAAAGTTAGACTCTGGAGGAGGGAAATTTTTTGATATGTTGTAGCACTGATTTTTCTAAGCCAGAAAACTGGGAACGGTGAATGAGATACAGATTTTTGATTATTTAAAAACTGGGAGAAAAGGTGTAAAAAGGGCGGTAATGTCCCTTTTTTCCCCCCAGTTTTTAAATATTAAAAAATCTGTATCTCATTCACCATCCCCCAGTTTTTCGTCAGACAACTCTTTTTGTCTTAGAAAAATCAGTGCTACAACATACCGAACTCGCACGAATAAGCGCCTCCTAACGTGAAAATTTACTTAAGCACCCCGTTTGAATAAGGGCCCCCTTCTAATTTGAATAAACGCCCCCTCAATAATTCAATCAATCTGGACTGTGGATGTTAACATGATATGAGGTGTGGAGTGGAATCACATTCTCCTTTAGTCAATATCAAAATGAGGATATTTATCTTGGACAAATGAGAGCTCCCTAGGCAGACAGTATATTCAACTTTCATCTTCTTACATTTTTCTATAGCCTAGTCCTACTACTTTTCCGACAATTTGCACCTAACACATTCTCATCGGAGTTTTCAAGAAAACCTGCAAGGCAATGATCATGCCACCCTGCTCTTAATCGGCCGATGGCTTACAAGCCACCACCACTGATTTCATATGCTATTCTGCTGTTATGAAATACTGTACTCAAAAAACATTCTTGTCATGACAAGCCATGCTCTCTGGACGATTATCTTTTCCGCTGCACCACCATTTGTAAATTGGGGTTTCCTGATGTCCTTATATAATCGTTTTTTCTTGAAAATGTGCTTCTTGAATTTAATAAGTTCTTATAAGAACCCCTCGATTCTCATCTGTTTCCCGTAAGCATGCCCTCAATTTCCACTCTGTTTTGATAAGCGCCCCGTTTGAATAAGCGCCCTGCTAAAAGTGCAAAAAATATTTTAAGCGCCCAAAATTTTTTTCCTCCGGAGCATGACTTTAAATAATCCTCAGGACAACCTCTCTCCACCTCGCGTCGGGAGTTCATCTGAACAATGCATTTTTTTTGTAAAATACCAAATCCATACCTTGACGTCTACAATACATCCTTCTATAATGTCATCAACAGTCACTGAACCATTGTTAATTGCATTTAAACACAAGTTGTATGTAGTTGAGTTCATGAGAGTATCGTTGCAGAGTTGCTTTGTATATTCTTCAGTCAAACCACTTGCTGTGGGAAATCCCGGGACCTAATGCACATGAAATACAGATAGAACATTTTGTAGATCTCATTTCATATGCATTACTTTATTTACAATTCTTCTATCAATCATTAAAAAAATTCTATGTTTAAAACAAACAAAAAAATTACCATAATTAGAGTAGTTACAGTTTACCTTATAGAAAATGTATTAATCTTATTAAACATGAAATATTTTTACAGTACATAAGTTTTTTTTTTCTTCCTGACTATACTAATGTATCCACTGCCTACAAATTCATACTAAAAAGCTTACGTATGGCTCAAAATCTTGATCATTTTCAGATTGAGTAAATTCATAGGTTCCAACCAGGTCATCAGGGTCTTCTTCTACTATCTCCCTCCTCCTTCGATTATTATCATCACAATTAAGAATTGGATCATTATCTGTTCTTGCATTACAGTAGTCACACTTGATAATGTCTTTATCACAAGTGCAATAACGATTAATTGTGAATTCTTTATCAACGTTCAAGACGCCCAGAAATATGTTTTCTTCATCAGCAACTCTATATTTGAACAGAAAACTAATATTTCAATCACATTACTAAATACAAAAACTACAGTCCAAAGAGACATTTTGGAACAAATTACATGAGCCTCAAATATTAATCAATCCATCAGACCGACAAGAAAACCAATTGCTATTTCTATCGGATTCGTCTGCCAATATGAAATTCAATTACATGAAAAAAATTAGCCGAATTTGAGGTAGAAGGTTATATAATGAACATTGTTTTCATTTAGTATTGATAATACATTAGTAAATTTTTTAAATCATTAGATTTGGAAAAAATGTTGACCTCCACCCCCTAAATTTCAACCCAGATCCTCTTAATTCATATTCCCATTCATTTTACTAATCCTATAAAGGTAGTACTAGTTTGGGACACTGTGACCACTGATTGGGATTTATCTCAAAATCTTGGGATATTTAATGACACCTTGGGATCTTGGGATTTTTTGTTAACTTTTCATCAAATCTCTGGATTTTTAGAATGATATGGACTTTTTCATTTTTTTTTTTTTATTTTGCAATAAGTGAACAAATAGGCTGCTTATGAACTTATACACCATTGACAGTTGTCAATGAGGAGGGCTGTTCATTTGTTCAAAATCATAAAGACCCAAAAAGTTAAAAATCAAGTAAACTGCCAGTATGGCTTTTGAGTTATGCCCCCTCAAGGATACACACACAGACGCGTGCTTTTGCAATACCCTTCACCTCTTCTTTGCAATATTGTTTAAAAAGTAATACTGTATAGGTTATACCTCCAGCTTTCAGAAAAATTTTTAGGTACACTGTTATAAGTCGCCGGTTCACAGTTCCCCGGTTGAGAGCAATCATACGTCGCTGCATCCGCTGGTCCATATTGACCATCATTATATTTGTCTTTATCAAAATTACCGCATAAACCAACAATGTTGTTGAAATCATCTGATGATGCAGAGAGATACAAAGATAAAAATTGACTCCAAATCAGTTTTATAGTAAGGACTGATCCTGTTGGTAAATAAATCTGTGGGAAAAAAAATATTTAGTTGTCATCATCACCACCGTCATTAATAAAAACATGCTAACGGCCTATAATTTAGGAACTTCGTACGGAGAAAATGAGAAAGCGGATTAAGTATAAGGCTAGTCGACAAGGACCAGTATACGATGGAGAAAATCTATATTGTTTTAAGTTTGAAGAAGACTATGTTAAATACACATTAATTAAACATCACAAAATTTTAGAAGTTTAGATAATTCTTTCTCTACATTAATACATGGCGGACATTTTCAAAATAGACATGCCAAAACATCACAAAGATTGCAAAATTGTACTCAAATATGGCAGATATTTCTTGTTGCTTGATTGTAAAATGTAACTATAGTTTAAACATATCAATAAGTATTTCTTTTGAATAGTAGAGCATGCACACCAATTTACGATAACAAATTTATTCTGTCTAGAGGTCAAACATTTTCCTTTTATGTCTACATTTTTATCATCTTGAAATTAATCTAGTACATTTTTAAATTATTAACTTTTTTACTTTGAAAATAAATTTCAGCATATAGTATAGGATGGATATCATTCTGAATAGACACTTATTTATCCGGAGTGTCACAAGGCTCGATCCTAGGCCCACTCCTGTTTTTCAATTACATCGATAGTGTTGCAAATTTACCTTTCTCACTTTTTAAATTAAGCCTATTTATATTTTCCCATATAATCATCTGGCATTATTCAGAATGACATCAATCTAAATTGTACATGGGTAAATGATCAGAATCTAGCGTTAAACATTTCCAAAACTAAATACTTGGAAAGAATCATATATCTTAGTATCTTTAGAAGTGAGTAGCACTTAATAATATGAAATTTCAAAAATTTATTGGAAAAACTGGGAGGCACAGGCCAAACACCCCACCACCCCCACATGACCCCTTAATGGATCAGTCCCCGTTAATCAGACGAAATTTCAAAAAATTTAGTGGCAAAACGGGGAGGCACGTGTTGAATCCTCATTACTGTTGATCAGACGTGTTTTGAGAGATTCAAGATAGAGACAGATGATAGGCCCTAGTTATGCTAACTAAACCTGAGCCTAGGCCACTAGGCTAGGTCTAGGCCTATATTTCATCGACATCATAGGCTAGACTAGGCCGCGCATCGGCCCCACACGTCGGGGATGTCGGATTATTTTATTCAATTCTCAACCAAAAGAGATAGAAACCCCCACTAGGTTTGAACATTAAAGAACACATTATGGGAAAAAACAATAAACTGTCTTCATAAAGTTTTAAACGAGGATAAAATTTAAAAAAATATATACATTTCATCCAAACATTTTAAATTATTAAATGTAACTACTAATCTTTTATAAACGTTCTTACGTCAACTCGGCCAAAGGGGAGACATACATTAAGCGTTTAGTGCGAGTTCGACCAGAGACTCTATATTATACAGTATATAATTTATATTAGTATGTTCTTTATTAACATTGACAGTTATCTTATTTAAAGTACCTTGAATTTTCCATTTTCATACTTCAAAACTGTTCCTGGTGTTTTTTTTCCATTCCTAAGTATTTCAGCAGTTGTTACTCTGGTGTTTTTAGGTGTTCGAATCTCTTTTTGTATTTGGCCATCATGCCTTGTTTTATAGGTTACGTAGTAGTTACCAGCATCATTGCATCGATCAACGATTAAATGTGTGTCACCCACTTGAACAGCAACCCCACAGTTACAAGCCACACTCTTACAGCGAGCCACTCGAGACTGAATCTGCAATATGCATAATATAGGGTAATCAAAAAATGTAAGTAATCTTCAATTTTAAGTAAATGGTTATATAATAAAATAGTTCACTATTACTTTAAAGCAAATGGTTGTGAATTTATTAACAGAAAAATGTTTCTACGCTATCTGGTGTTTCATTATACTTTTATCTATATAATCTAGGCCTATTTATATATCATAGTCTATGAAAAATAGCAATTATTTCTGAATAACAATAGTATGATACCATGCCCATCTCAGTTACTGTATTTCAAACCAATGCCGCCGCCGCGGCTTCCTAAGTTTACATGTCTACCCTTTTCATTTAAAGCCAGAGGGAAAAATGATTTTTGATATGTTATATTGTTATTCCGTAAAGGAATTTTAAACATTAAAAATTCTGTATCACAACAGTTCCCGATTATTACTTCAAAAACCAGTCCAGTGTCTAAGAAAATTTATTTGTTTAACATATTTTTCCTCCAACACATGGCTTCAAATTAGCCTTGGATACTGCAGCTTATATTATTATACCACTTATAATGAAATATTACCTTTATAGGTAAAGTCCTATGTTGGTAAAATATATAGTCACCGGGTGTATATATATGGTAATACCTTTTGAAATGAAAAGATAAAAAAAAGTATTATCGTACAATTATATTTTGAGATAATATTTCATTTTGATTATATTATAGGCCTACTACATAATAGTTAAACTGTTAATGTCATTCTAAATTACATCGTTGCTATATTTATTCTTATTCCTTATCGACTAGAAAACTATGGGGTGCCATACACAGTAAAGTCTATGTTAAAATCAAAATGTAATTGCAAAATTCAATGTCTAATTTATCAAAACATAGATCTAATTTCTCAAAATGTAGGTCAAGTTTCCCAAAACAAAGTTGTAATTTTTCAAAACGTAGTTAAAATTTTCCAAAATGTATTCTTAATTTCTTTAAAATGAAATTCAAATTTCAAAACATAGTTCTGACTTGATCAAACCCCCTCTCCGAATTCTGTTCCAAACGTAAATCAAAAACCACCCAAGCATGACTGGTTTGATTTACATTTTACAATATTGTACAACAAAAACTATATACTGTATGTGAAATGTAAATCAAAACTAGCCAACCATGCATGATGGGGCCTGTTCCATTAATGATGGGAGGGGGGGGGGGGGAATCAATTTTCGCTGTGTCCAATATGCCATGAACAATGCTTCCCAATGATGCTCAGGATACCGGCGATCAATGGAGGCCTATGTGTGCGGGATTTGCAGGTATTGGACCAGGGTAGCCTAAACTATAGTAGGAGGCCTCCCTAGGCCTAGGCCAATAGTATAGTAAAATACCTGTATAGTCATTTATAGTCAGGTTTACATTGTACCAAGGTTGAAAATTTATTTTTATTTTCATTGAAAATAAAAAAAAAAAAACCTTGAAAGAACTAGATTTGAACTCGTCACTGAGGACGAGTTAGGTGATCCGCCGTACTTTGACCCTTATAAAGCTCACGCGGTGCTGATTGAAAAGTGTCATAATATGCTAAAATATGCTGTAATTAGTTTTTTAAAAAAGAATAATTTTGAGCATTTTGAAAAATTTACGCATGCGTACACGTACCTCTTGACGCTCGTGAGCACGGTAATAGCACAAAGAGTGACTCCTTATTTGAATGTGTCAGGAACACAAAGTATGTAACAAAGGTGATTTACAGCTTCAGTACGTGTTGCATGCGTGGAAATGTACGTATGGCGCGTAAATATGGAAAGTTTTGGAACGCTGAAAATGACCCGAAACGTTCTTTAAACTATCTGAATAGTGATATGGAGAATTTTCAAATTTTACAAGACGCGCACGTCACGATGTGTGCGTGTACAGTAATGGCACACGAAATTAAACATTGTCAAGTGTTTTTAAAGCCGTTAGTTGGTAATGCCACACGAATTTTCTCTTCATATAACCTATATATATATCAGTCTGATAGCGTCGAAATAGTCTGCCGCCCTCTCTCTGTTCTATCTCTTTACATCTTTTAAGAATGAGAGATAAAAGGGCTCCTAAAATTAATTCTTTTTGACCATACTGACGTGATGAAAATGAAAAATAAAGGGACACGTCTGAAAGAGAATTGATTTAGCTATAATATACTCACATGTGGGAGACAATCAATCAAGATAAGCGAGATACGTTCAAACGAGTATAAAAAGTAATAACGTCGGTTTTTTCTTAATTTAAATGGCAATATGATGACGTCACAATGTCCGATCAGCCATTATGATCTATAAAATCGTATCTACAACTCATGTGCTCTCAGAATATGTAATAAATATTAGGGGTCACCTTCCATCCTAAGGAGATATATTTGATTATAAATAGGCATAATTATAAGCATATGTAATTTTTGACGCACGCGTACGCGCACGTTAAGACACGCAAACAAAAAAGTAAGATACCTAACATTCAACTTTGACCTGAAGTATAAGCCCATTTAATATTATTCAGAAATGACGAGTAGTTAAGATGATTTAACGTCATCAATGTTTTGAGAAAGGAAATATATATATATTTAAAAAAAAAATCAAATGGCAATATGATGACGTCACAATGTCCGATCAGCCATTATGATCTATAAAATCGTATCTACAACTCATGTGCTCTTAGAATATGTAATAAAAATTGGGGGTCACCTTTCATCCTAAGGAGATATTTGATAATAAATAGGCATAATTATAAGCATAAGTAATATTTGACGCAATCAATTGCGTAAAAAACACAAAAATGCGCGTAGATGACGTCACACGTGACTGGTAACCTTGCAAAGCTTATTGTCACTATTCCAGGCCAAGCCAAATGTTTGTTGTAGTCGTTTTGTGCGTAGCTCTCGGCAAATTTGAGATATCGTGCGAACAGTTATTTGTCAGAATGTAGAATAAAAAAAAAAAAGATCTCTGACAATAACAAGAGGTGATCCGCACTAGATGCGGATCACCAATTAAATTTAACTTAAGGATTCTTAATCTTGAAAAGAAAAACAACTCGAATTGAAGCCCCTCTTTAGTTTGCAAAAGTAGCACCAAAATGGCAACACTTTTCAACCAGAACGGCAATAAGTCAAAGCGGCAATAAGTCAAAATGGCAATAAGTCAAAACGGCAATATACCAAAATGACAACACTTTCAGAATTTATGTCAAGAGTAAAAAGGCACGAAAGAAAAAAAAAACACTATGAAGAACAACATTAATAATAATAACTAGATTTGAACTCGTCACTGAGGACGAGTTAGGTGATCCGCCGTACTTTGACCCTCACGAAGCACGCGTGGTTCTGATTGAAAAGTATTATATGCTAAAACGTACTCTAGGAAAAGAGTAATTTTGAGCATTTTAAGGACTTACGAATGTGTACACATACGTCTTAACGTCCGTGTGCACGGTAGTATTAATACAGTGTCACAAACCCAACACATGTAACCAAAACGTAATTTCCAGCTTCAGTACGTGCTGTGGGCGTGGAAATGAGCGTACGGCTCGTAAATTTTGGAAAGTTTTGGAATATTCAAAATGACCTGAAACGTGCTTTAAATTATCTGAAAAGTGATATTAACAATTTTAAAATTTTAACGCACAAGTACGAATACCTTATACAACGTGCTTGACGACGGTAATGGCACATGAATTTAAACCTTGTCAAGTTTAATTTAAAACCCCCTGTTGGTTGGTAATGCCACACGAATTTTGCCTTTACAGTATACGAACTATCGGTCTGATAGTGTCAAAATACAGTCTGCCGCCCTCTATTTTCAATGTGTTTACATCTTTTAAGAAAGAAAGATGAGAAGGCTCCAAAAAAGCATTCTTTTTCACCATGATGACGTCATCAAAATAAAAAATAAAGGGAGACGTCCGAAAGAGAATTGATTTAGCTATAACATACTCACAGGTGGGAGACAATCAATCAAGATAAGCGAGTACGTTCAAAAGAGTATAAAAAGTAATAACGTCATAAATAAAAATTCAATTTTTTCTTCAATCAAATGGCAATATGATGACGTCACAATGACCGATCAGCCATTATGATATATAAAATCGTATCTACAACTCATGTGCTTTCAGATTATGTAATAAAATTTGGGGGTCACCTTTCATCCTAAGGAGCTATAATTGATTAAAAATATTCATGGTTTTATGCATATATAAATGTTGACGCACGCGTACGTGCACGCTAGAAAGCGCGAACGGAAAATAAAGGTACCTAACATTTAACCTTGACCTGAAGCTTATGCTCACCTAATATGATTTAGAAATGACGAATGGTTGAGATTATATGGGGTCATCAACGTTTTGAAGAAAGAAAAATGAGGGGGTCAGAAAAAACAATTTTTTTGACCATGATGTCATCATCAAAATGTAAAAAGGAGTCAAATATATGAAAGAGAATTGTCTCAGCTATAACATACTGAGATTTTGAAGACGATCGATCAAGGATAACTGAATTATGCTCAAATGCGTATTTTCAAAAATGACGTCATATCTATCAATCACTTTCTTTGAATTCAGATGCCAATATGATGACGTCACAATGTCCGATCAGCCATTATGATCTATAAAATCATATTTACAACTTATGTGCGTTCAGAATATGTAATAAAAATATGGGGTCACCTTTCAACCTAAGGAGCTATTAAAACTGATTAAATATAGGCCTGATTTTAGCATAATTTCACTGTATAGCGGCACAAATACGCGCAAAGATACCTATGTTTGATGCGCACGTACGGTATTGCTATTGGCCAAAAGATGACCGAAAAGACTGGAAGTTTGTGAAAACAATGTCAGGAACCCAAATTATTTGAAAAAAACATAGTGTCTAGCTTCCGTACGTGCTGCGCGCATAAAAATGCGCGCTTGTAGTGGAAAATTTAAAAAAAAATTGAAATGCTCAAAATGGCCTGAAACGTGCTCTAATTTAGTTAAAAAGTGATTTCAAGCATTTTGAAATTTTGATGCACGCGTGCACGCGCATTATGAAGCGCACGCGTAAAATTAGGGTACAGTACATTCAACATTAACCCGAAGTTAATGCTCACTTAATACGATTTTGAAAGGGCAATTGGTTAGGGTGATATGACCAATATTGTAAAAATGCAAAATTGCACGTAGATGACGTCACGCATGACTGAGCGCGTTGAAAAGCTTACCATGACTATTCCAGACCAAGCCAAATGTTCGTTGACAGCGATTGTGCGTAACTCGTGGCATTTTTTGAGATATCGTGCAAACAGAAAATGGGAGAAAGAAAGAAGAATAAGAAAAAAAAGATGTTGATCCTGACAATAACAAGAGGTGATCCGCTAGTGTAGCGGATCACCAATAATAACAATAAAAATAATAATTATATATAATGATAATGGTAATAATAATAATGATGATACAATACACTTCAATAGTAAAAAGATTGAGGAAACAAAATGTAATATATAAAATATAAAAGCAGTGAACATTTAAATAGTTAAACCTTAAAATACAGATAAAATAAGGCTAAACAATATTATACCATGAAAGTAGAAAACCGGAAAGAAAAAATAATAATAATAATAAATAACACTTTAAAATAATATAGGCCTAGTCATGGATGTGTAAAAAAAAAAAAAAAAAAATTAAAAGAAAACAAAACACGATTCAGAAAATTATGAACTGCTGCCCGCGCCCAATGGCGCCACATTCTTGGCATTGATTTTTGCTCCTTTGCCGCTTTGGTCTATGACTATTGCCGTTTTGGTACTTATCATTGCCATTTTGGTTTATTGCTATTTTGGTCATTGCCGTTTTTGGTTTTAGCCGTTTTGACCTGCTCCCACATTTATAAATCTTTATAACATATATAAAAATCAGATTTTTCTCAACTGAAATCTTGCCAGGAATGGGGCTTTAGGTCCATTGGGCTTCTAAGCAAGGTTTTACGGTATTTTAGAATCAAAATCCATTTATTATTGATTTATTATTATTTTTAATGAAAAAAAAAATGAAATCATTATTTTCGACCTTAGTACAATATAAATGTGTTAGTATGACTATACAGAATTTCACTATATTATTGGCCTTGTTCATGTCATTGGACTGCAGCGAAAATTGATTCCCCCATCATTGGATGGATGTGGGTAGCTTTTAGCTACTCATACGAAACAAGTTTGTAGCTAATAAATACAAATGGAACCGTTTGCCCATTGTTTTATTTGATTCTGGTCCCAGCTCTGGTTGGGCCTCTCATCCTGATGATTTGCACATTTGCACCAACTTCTCTTTGATTGACTCTCTCTCTATCTCTCTCTCACTATCTCTCTATCCCTCTATCTCTCTCCCCCCTCCCTCCCTCACACGCACGCACGCACACACACACACACATAAAATAATTTGAATGAGTGGACAGTAACACAAATGCAAATTTATCACTACAACAATAAGTCTGTGAACCTCACTCTGTATGATTTATAGATGGTATTAACAATTTACAAGATACTTGCCATCCATCGAAGGTAGTATAGTGTGGATCTCCGCTTCCTTCACAAGTTTTTTCAATCCCTACGTCTTCTGTGACAACCTATCAAAGCGATAGATGGGACAATAACAAATGCCATTTACTTTCAGAAATACTATAGAGTAATTAAATATTTTTAAGTCATTGATATATTGCATCACTATAAACATATGAAAAAAAATGTCAACAGTCGGTTGGAGTTTTAAAATTGTGAAACCTGATATACCAACTTTTATAAGTGCAAAACTCAGAGTCAGCAGTGCAAACTCGGAGTCAGCAGTGCAAAACACAGAGTCAGTAGTGCAAAACTCAGAGTCACTAGCAGTGCAAACTCAGAGTCAGCAGTGCAAAACTCAGTCAGCAGTGCAAAACTCAGAGTTAGAAGTCCAAAATTCAGTCAACAGTGCAAAACTCAGAGTCAGCAATGCAAAAAAACAGAGTCAGCAGTGCAAAACTCAAAACACCCTCTATTTTGAATGAAATTTCAGCTTTTTTAGACGCGTGCTTACGGACGGTGTCATTTAAATGTATTTGAGAATTGCAATCACTTGAGCACTCCATAAGTGACCACTTACAATTTATTATGTGCTCATAAATCTCAATAAAATAATAAATTAATTTAATTATATTTATTTAAATATACAATTATTTCTATTGATAATTTATTGAATCTAATATAAAAAAAATCTTATCTAATTTATAAATAATTTTTAGAATATAATTGATTTAATTTTTTTTTTCATTAACGATTACAGTACATACCTAATTAATAAATGATTTAATAATATAACACACAAATTTAATAATAAAATAATTAATTTAATAACTAATTTTACTGATTAGTTATTAAATAAAATAACTTCTTTTTAAATTTTTGAATAATTTAAATAATTTATTTAATAGTTTCAATTAATAAATTAAATTTTTATTAGTTAAATATGATTTTAACTATAATTATTTATATAATTTGATTATATTTAATATATATAATATTTAAAAAAATATTCACTAGCTAAAAACATTATTATACAGATATGAAGGATTGTATTTGAGGATGGATGAAATGACTGTTGCGACAATTTATTAAGTCCGCATAAACCTCAATAAAATAATAAACCAATTTAATTTAATTTATTTAAAGAAGTAATTCATTTATTGATAATTTATTTAATCTATTAATATAATAAAAATCTTATCAATTTTGTAGACAATTATTAGAATATAATTGATTTAATTTTTTGATATAATTTTTTATTAACAACAATAATTATGTCCGCATAAACCTCAATAACATACTGTAATGAAGTAACTTAATTTAATTGTATTTAAACAAATAATTTTATTGATATTAATATAACACAATAATTTATTTATTAAATAGTTAAACATTTCAAATAACTATTTAATTTTTTAACCAACTATGATTATAACTATAATTATTTATATAGTTTATATTTAATGTAATATTAAACAATATTCTCAAGCTAAAGACATTGTCTTACAGATATGACGCATAAATTTAAAAGAATTGAACATGCGATTAATAAAATCAAAACTTTATCTGAAAGGCCCAAAAACAACATCCATACGCATATTAAGCCTTTCCACTTAGAATTAAAAGATTTCAAGCGAGTATACTCTTTACTGGATAAATTGACAATATTACTAAACGAACATTGCAGTATAACGTCGAAATACGATTTAAGGTCCAAACACTTACAAACTCAAAAAATTATTTCAAATTAAAGAGAGTGTTATAAGTGAACATAATGATACTCATTGTAATGACAGAGAAAAATTAAACAGTTTAATCAGTGACAATTATAAACTGATAGAAACAACAAAAACAGAAACAAAGCGAAGACTCGAAGAAGAACGGAAGATACGATAAACTCATACAACTATAAATTCAAACTTTATTATTGTCAAGGAACTTTATAGAAAAAGAAAACACATTCATAAAACATTAAAAAAAAGTTCACATAGAGAAGAAAACTGCAAACACCAAGGAAGAGAAAGTTAATACCATTACTAATAAATATAATTTTACTAAACTAAAAAATTAATAGCCAACTCAAGGATATCCAAAATAAAGGACCAAATTTCATCCCTACATTCCTTAAAAAATATAGAAATTAACAAGTATAGATCTTTTAAATCCTTTAACATTACTACAAAAAGGTATCCATAGCAATATAAATAAGCCTAACAATAACAAACCAACACTCCCAATACAGAAACGCCTTAAAGCTCATTTACAAAATCACATCCATAAAATAAAACAAACTCACAATTTCTGCTTTAATACCTTAGGATCTCTATAATTGGAATGTATAGAAAATTTTGCTTGTATAGCAACCAAAAATATTATCAAATCATACTATAAACAACTAAAAATTATCATATACAAAAGCCATAATAATCAGAACAGCTGATAACAATTTAGGACTATGTATTAATTAAACTTGCAAATATGGATAATTTTTCATTCCTGATGATAACATAATTAATGTCGAAATACTGAATCTTGACACGAGGGGTGCATTTTGATAGTTTGGGCATGTATGTTATACTATTGTATTACTTCTACTAATTGGTATTATAATGAGTACAAAAGACAATTAAATTGCAATAGTTATACAAAAATAAATAAGCTCCAATAATAACAAAAGAAAAATTACATTACTTAAACATTTTACGAAATAGAATAATAAAACTAATTAATAGCAATAATAATGATGAAAGCATAATACAAAAAATTAATATGATCGTAAGTAGATAGAAAACACAAAAATAAAAAAAAATAAAATAAATAAGCTCCAATAATAACAAAAGGAAAATTACATAAATTAAAACATTTTACGAAATAGAGTAATAAAACTAATTAATAGCAATAATAATGATAAAAGCAATACAAGGAATTAATAGTGGATAGAAAACACAAAAATCAAAATTCCTTCTCTAGACATCCTTCCCAAGCCCCATAAAACCAAATAGGCCTACACACTAACAAATAAATTAAGCATGTACTGGGGTAAAGTTTGTGCATGGTTGTTCTTCGAATGACATAACTAGGCGTACATATAATAGTTTGTAACCATTAACTTTGAATTTAAGAGATAATCCGTTCAACAAAATCATTCATTTTTGTTGAGAAGTTAGTTACATTTTTTAAATCACATTTGGCAGTATGAGAGCCTCTATTAAATGTAGACAGCATCAGAAAGACAAACACATACCTTGATAGTTGGCAAGTTTGATAACTTATCCCATATTCTAGAAACATCTTCCAAAGTGCTCACATCAGCCTCAAATCTAATGTAGTTTGCTACATCTCCATCGTTGTATCCGTCTCTCGCTGCCATAATTTTGAATGAGGCTGGAGACTTGTATTCTACAGAACGCGAGCAGGCATCTGCCAATGCGTCTATTTCGCCATTTAGATCAACGTTTATACTGATTCTAGGCACACATACGCTATTTTCCTCTCTACAAACGATCGGTATGGTTGAAGTGACTTCAAATGTTTCACCATCTTCACTTTCACCCACAAACACAATGGTATCGTTAGGTAACACCTTAACGACAAAACATACATTGAAAACATCATTGGGGAAATGTTTATAAAATGAATGTGTTATTAGCATGTAAACATTGAACGAGATTTAACATTTACTTACGATTAGTCCGGCATACAGTAAGTTGCTTTTTATTCCTTGTGAATATGCATCTTGGTCCTTGAATTTACTGCTGACTTCACATTCGATCTAAAATTTTATAATAAAGATATGTATAATTACATTGGAGATTGATGCAACGATTAGTCATATACCACGATTTATTATTGTATGATTTTCTAAAATTTATGTAACATAAAAATGAGAGGAACTACTTATAAACAATGATTACGTATAAGATTTTGTAAGTTTTTTTGTAAATATTTTTAAACATATTTTAATACATCGTCAGTGACAGTAGGCCTAAATTGTAAAAAATATTTTTAAAATGTTTAAATATTATTAATGTTAGTTGAATGTTTAAATATTATTTACTCTAGACATCATCGTGTAAGAATGGAGGAATTAGTTTAAAAACTAATTCCTCCATGGTGTAAGTATACTGGGTTTAGAAGGCTTGATTAAATATATTAAGTACATAGAGGTTCTGTTACTTAGTATTTTTTGCAAATAATAGTCATGAGATTTGTTTTAGTAATTTAGACGTGAAGACTAAGACATTGTACCTTATTTGCTGCGAAGCAGCCAATTTATATTCTTGACAGCAATTTGACCTCTGAAAGGTCATTGTTTGTCAAAAAACAAGGGCCTAAGACGACTGAAAAGCGGAGTTTCCTTCTTTTGTTCTGCCCGGTAAAATCAATTACTTTAGGCGACGTTTGTAGACTAACCTACTAGTTTTTTTGTAAATATTTTTAAACATATTTTAATACATCGTCAGTAGGCCTAAATTGTAAAAAATATTTTTAAAATGTTTAAATATTATTAATGTTAGTTGAATGTTTAAATATTATTTACTCTAGACATCTTCGTGTAAGAATGGAGGAATTAGTTTAAAAACTATTTCCTCCATGGTGTAAGTATACTGGGTTTAGAAGGCTTGATTAAATATATTAAGTACATAGAGGTTCTGTTACTTAGTATTTTTTGCAAATAATAGTCATGAGATTTGTTTTAGTAATTTAGACGTGAAGACTAAGACATTGTACCTTATTTGCTGTGAAGCAGCCAATTCATATTCTTGACAGCAATTTGACCTCAGAAAGGTCATTGTTTGTCAAAAAACAAGGGCCTAAGACGACTGAAAAGCGGATTTTCCTTCTTTTGTTCTGCCGGGTAAAATCAATTACTTTAGGCGACGTTTGTAGACTAACCTACACGTACCAACGTCCGCATGTCGCGCTAGCCTTATCCTACTCTACAGTAGGCCTAGACTAGCTAGGATGGTATAGGCCTATAGCTTTGAAGGGACGAAGGTCCCAATGAAAAAAAATGTCGCTCCTTAACATCACAATAATTCATTATTAGACCTATAGTTGTATTTTGAATTGTACTCCACAAATCTCAGCCAATACCTTGCACAACTCGTTAACGTCTAGTCTCTCTCTATCTATTGTCGTGACGTCATGGCCCGCTGGCTCACACTTGTGATGTCTCGCACTTGTGATAAAATAACACGCTGGCTCGCACTTTGGCAACACTCTTTGGCAGTCAACTCGCCCCTAGAAAACCCACCCCTTGGAAACTTGCCCCATAAAAAAATGTACACTTCCTAGACCATGCAGTCTTCAAAATAAAGGTTGTAACCTTTGGTAATCAACTACATTTTCTACATACATAGAAATTTTTGAAACTTTATTAAAAAAAAACCTAAATCATAATTCACCACTATAGACACGTACTTTTTGACAAAAATGAAAAATTACAACTTTGTTACCCAAAGAGAAGTGTTCTAATATAGACAATGGGTCATGTCTCATATTATTTGTTATATTTTTATTATTCATTATTTTCTTGACTTGACTTATTACTTGACTCGCATAAATAATTTTGTTCGAAGAAAATTTATATGCAGTTGTACTTCGCAGCACTTCACTTGCAATTTGCAATTTCTAGTTTAAATTAGTAGGCCTAACTTACATTGGATCCTGCTTTCCGGTTCAGAATGCACTGATAAGGGAGCCCTGTACCACAGTCAAACTCATCGCTGATTTTAGACAGGTCAGGTCCATCAGTAACATATTCTCCGTCGATGAACCAACCCACAAAAAAGTCAATTTCTTCTTCACCAGACCATAACATACGGTAATCACAATAAGCTGATACTCCGGTCGGTTCTTTTACGAATGCTAATACTGGTTCCCCTTCGAGAACAGGGAAGTTACCTAATATATACAATATATAAAATTATTTAGAAACGTATGACCATAATCACCATTGGTATTAAATATAATTATATTATACACACACATATATAT